GAAAAAAATCTATTAAAGAAAATATTGGACTAGGCTCATCGTCCATTTCCAAGAGACCTCAGACTTTAACCCAAACAACTTTAGATGATTTAATAACTGATTTTATTATAGATAGCATTCAGCCATTTTCAGTTGTTGAAAATCCATCATTTAAAAAAATGATCAAAACATTAGCTCCACAAAAAAATATAATTGGCAGACAGACAGTGGTTGCTAGAATTTCCCAAAGATGGGAGAATGAAAAGAAAGAAATCATTAATAGTCTAATAGAACTATCGTTAATATACACAACAACAGATTGTTGGAGTGTCTATCGCCGGTATAGCTAACATTTAAATTTGTATAATAATTTAATTACAAACAAATTATTTGAGCTGTTTTAAGAAATGTTAATTTTTAGTTCATACATAGGAGTCAGTTCACAGCTTATTACTGTGCAACTATTTCCCAGCTCATTTTTAAATCAAAAATTTGAAACAAATGAACCTGAAATTTTGTTTACCACTCTTAAATGCCTTACTTAAAGGGATTGAAGATAGGTAAATTAATAATAAATTAATCAATATTTAATAATTCTAGATTTATTAGGACAATTTTTGAAGATGAAAATATTTTGGCAACTATGATTCATCCTTTTTTTAAACTAGATTGGACATGGTTGCAAATGGATAAAAATTTGAATAAAAAAAATAATTAATACAAAGATTAGTTGAGGAATTATCAAAGTCTTCAAATGAGTGCAAATTAACCTGTGAAAAAAAAACCAATAATTTAATATCCTATTTTTTTCAGTATCCCACAGCAGGAGATATGATTGTTAATGATTTAAATTCTGATAATCAACAAATTTTAAATAGTTTTTTCAAAAATGAATGCCGAGATTTTAGTATTTTTAAACAATATCCTGATATAAAAATGTTATTCATTAAATATAACACCACAATCTTTTCCAGCACCCCTGTTGAAAGACTTTTTAGTATAGCTAAAAATGCCTTATCAGATAAACGATGATGTCTTAATGACCAAAATTTTGAAAATATTTTATTACTGAAATCTAATAATTATTTATAATCATTTAATCATATAATATATTATTTTATTAATGATATATAATAATTATTTATATTAATCATATATTATATTAATATCTAAAAATCATTTTTTATATTTTGATAAATGTGATATCGAGTCAATAAATTTTTTAGATCATTTCATGAATTTTCATAATAGAATCCTAATTTAGGTTTATTCAAACCTTATCTAAGAGTTTAATAAAAAATGTATCTGTACCTAAATACATTTTAAATTGTATCTGTATCAAGATAACTTTTTAGAAGCTGTATTTGTATAAATTTTTAGACTATGTATCTGTATCTATATCTAGATCCATTAAGTATCTTTCTCTGATGTATATGATTATATTTGACATTTAATTTTTGTTAGATTAAATTATTATATTACGAACTTCGAATTTTTATATATAAAAACGCAAATTATTAAAAAGTTCATGATTTTTTTTTGTTTAGAAATTGATTTTTAATAAAGAATTGAATTAATTAATGGTAATTAATTGAAGTATTAGTAAGTGGACAAATTTGACAATTTATACAAAATTATTAAAATTTTTATTTTTAGATTTAAATTCTTCAAAATATTACTCTGCTAATAATCTCTGCAATTTCTCTTGGAATATCTGTCAATTTTCTCTTAAGGCATACAATAAATATATTACGATAACTAGCAACAATATTGTCTTGTTATTTATCTTATACGAATCTTTTAAGTTCATCCTCACAGCTTTCATCGGTGATGTTGAGCTACATCAGAATCATCTAGAAATTCTCTAAATTTTTTATTTAGAGTATACGGTCTTTTATGAGTGTAGGATGAATTAGGAAAGTTATAAATGATAGTTGGTATTGATCATTTAGAATATACGGGTTTTTATGAGTTTAGGATAAGTTAGGAAAGTTATAAATGATAGTTGGCATCGACATATGCATATCATTTATTTTTATATCATTTAGCATTTTTAAGATTGTTTATATCATCCTTTTCTTCTATTAAAAACTTAAGTCTTTCGGAATTCGGATCTAGAATTAAGCCTACCTTATGTAGTGGCTGCATAATAAATCTTTCTTTTAAAATAAATCTTGTTCGGTATTTTAAGGTTTTGATTATTATTGTATCACATTCAGAAGGTTAACAAAATTTACTCATTTTTATTTACATAGATAAACTTCATTTATTGTGGGACGAGAATCTGCTCTCAGATTATTCGAGCATTCTTTAAATATTGAAAAATATATCTAACTCGCATATGATGCTGATATCAATTGTGGTTAATCAATTTAATTCATGCTTGCTAAACAAGTACACCTGTATTTCAGAATATGATTTTAAGAAACTCTGTATCATGATATGATATATACAGAGTTCCATCTCGTTATTACATCTTGTTTAAGAGTGTGGCTTAGTTTGCTATTAGCTGTAGATTGTTTGAAATATTGTACTATTTTTTTACACCATTTATATTTAAGGCTATTTCAGTTAAACAGTTGTCAAAAATATAATACACAATATTTAGTATATTGCATATACATGCTAGCGTTTCGCCATCTTTGAAAGCACTTATAAGATTTGCTCCGTTATCAGTCAACTATATATTTATTTAAATAATTTTCTACTTCTGTGTATTCTTATAAAATTAAATAGACTAGGCTTTTAAGCAAAATTTAGTATAAAGTCTCGCGATAAAAAACACCTAAACATAAAAAGAAAATAGAATTAACGAAATAATACCGGATGTTGTTCATAAAATGCGGAAGATATTGAGTCTTCATAAATTATTTTTTTAAGAAAGAACTAAATTAAATAAGGAAATATATAATATAATTATAAAATTGCAAATTTATATTTATATTTATAAAAAAATAATTGTAAAAATAAAAATTTTCGTGATTCACGGGAATCACGCCCGATCACGCCCGGGTAAAATTTTGGGAAAGCCATTCACGCCTTAGAATTTAAAAATTGTTCACACTCATGCCGTGAGCCACCGTGACACGATGCACGCGTAATTTTACGGCCCGCGCCCACCTCTAGAGGGGACACAACCACGTTTTAGCATCAGCCGTTAGGTAACTTAGGGTGCATTCACAGTAGAGAGCGACAGCGACACGGCAAAAAACAAATATATGTAATTACTAATGACTATTCATAGTGAGCTTTTGCGACGCGACACGACATTCTTGCCAAATTTGTCGCATTAAACATAGAAATCAAGTTACAAATCATTTGTTTTTTTTTCAAAACGACATAACTTCAATATGGCCGAAAAAGAAAATTTGCAAGTAAATTTTTGAAATGCTAAAAATAATAAATGTTATATATATATATATTAGAATATAAATAAATATTATGTTAATAATTTTATAGAAAATCAAAAAAGAAGATTTGATTAACTCCATCAGATACCATCAGCTGAAAAATAATAAGACAGGTAATTAAAGAATATATTAATTTGAAATATTTTTCTTTTGCAGTAGAGATGGCCAAATCAGCATGGAAAAATCTAAGAGATTGCTTTATGAGGGAACATAAAAACTATAGAGCCAAGGATTCAGTATTCCAATTTGAAAAAAAAAACAAAGCCTGTTATATCTAAAATCGATGAAGCAAATATCTCTAGAGCAATGTATGAGCAAATGAGTGGTAATGAAAATTATCAATATGAAGATGGTAAATATACTAATTTTTCTTAAGATTATATTAATACATAGCCATTGAAATCCCCTGCATAGAGACAAGTTGTAAAGCTACAATTTTAAGGAATGATGATAATCATATTTTGTATAAATAATATTATATATATTTAGCATCACCATCAACTGGTATAGGATCAAATTTATCTTGCAAAAAATTAATTAAAAAGAGGGATATTGATCAAGGTAATTTGCATTTGTAAATATATTTATAATTTTAAACTAGATCTATTTGAGCAAATTCTTGAAATAGAAAAAATAAAAGAAAATAGATTATCAACAAACTCTTGGATCAATGTTATGCTTGGGCAAACCTTTGAAAAAGATTTGAGAGGGGAAAGAAAAACTTATTAAAATTATTTTTGATTTATTGTTAAATTATGAAATTGATTATGTATAAAAAATATTATTATATTGCCATGTTATTTTTTCTTTGAATAGCTCTTATATTATTTTAATCATATTTAAGACACATATAATAAATAAACTTTCTTTTTAATAAATAATTAATAATCATTATAAAAAAAATGGAGTAATAGTTTTAAAATTTATTATGATAAAATATTTCTATAAAAATATTCAGAAAAGGCACTCTAAATCTTTAGAAACCTTTGAGGTTTTTTTTATAGACTGAGGATTCCATAAATAATTATTTTGTTTAGGATCTTGAGTATCCTTGGGGTTGGATATCTATGTTTTCTTTATCAATAACCAAATTGTGTAATAGTGCATAAGTTTTTATAATTGTTTCACTATTGGTGACATTGGTATCCAAGGCTCGATTAAGAATACACCATTTAGTTGCCAATATACCAAAAGTGCATTCCACCATTCTTCTGCCCTTGAAAGGCGATGGATAGATCATGTTCCCTAATATCTAAGCAATTTTGATTAAATAAAATAAAATCAATATTAACTTATCATCAATTTTTCTTATACTGATGTGGGATGGATTATTTATAAGTTTTTTGTATAGTACTGAGAATTCTCCTTCCTCTTCTTTTCTAACGTTCATATTATTTTTTCTCCTTTTCATATAAGGATATAATAAGAATAATTTTAAAGTTGTATAGATACCTTTTTTTAAAAAAAATAAAAATATGCTTATCGCAACTACTATGAATGCTATGTCGCTTACGACACATCAGCTCCTCTGTCGTTTAATGTCGTGTTGTGTTTGTCGTGTCGCTGCCGCTCTCTACTGTGAATGCTCCCTTATTTCATACATTCCTTTAAAACATATGTAACTAATATGGTAATAAACAAGGATTTTACAAAAAATATTATTAGAGCTAAAGCTTTGTATAGTTTTAAAGGAAAAAATAATGACGAAGTTTATAAAATGATATTTCTCTTATAGTTTCATGATATAGTTAAGCTTTCTTAAAGGGGATATCATCACTATTACTCAAGCTCCTACTCTAGTATGTGATAAAGAAATAAATATTTATGAAAGTGATCCAAAAGATTGGTGGGAAGGCTCTTTGTCCTCAAAAATTGGTTGGTTTCCATGTAATTATGTTGAGATAATAGATAATGATGAATCAATTAATAATTTGGGTATTGAATATTTGCAGATAAAATAATATTATCTTAAAAAATTTAATAAACTAGATATATATATTCACATTAAGCCAAGTCAAACAAATATTTCTTTTCACTCAATGGTAGAATAATAGATGCATATAATGTTACAAATATTTAAGGTCATTCAAAATGCTGTAGATCATGAGACTAACCACGTGAATGACATTCACGAGTTGCTAAGAAAATATTTGCGACCATTACATGGTGCAAAAATTATGACTATACTGGAATATTATTGTATCCTTTCAAACCTAGAACATATTGCAATATTTCATTCAAAGCTTTTAAATTTACTGAAATATGTCACAGAGTAAGCATAAAATCTTTTTAAACCTATTGTAAAATTTATGTTTTAATAAAAAATTTACATATTGACTTTAAAGGGTATAAAGATGGTAAAAATTATCTAGTGTAAAATTTCTTATATGTTTACAATTTATTTTTAAAGAAATATTGTTACTAATAGCATTACCTTTTTTGGGAAACACCATTCATTACTTGTTTTAAAAGATAACAAGTAAGATGTTTATCTATTTTGTGATCACTAAGTGCTCTTGTTTTATCTGATCAAAATTTTGAAAATTAATTTATGTTAAAATTAAAAAAATTATTATAAAAAAACTTATCTATAATATATTCATTTTATGTAATTTTATTTTTATTATCTATGGGAAAAAAAATTGATAAAAAGAAGTATTTTTTTTTGAATAGAAAGTATTGTGGTCCCTTTTTCACAAGGTAACAATATATTTCTAATAACTAGCAGAGGTTGCAAATGGAAAAATTTTCAAGCCCTTCCAACCCTGGTAGGAATTTTTAATGCCCTGCCCAGTTTCCAATTTTTACTAAGGTTACCAGGCCCTGTTTATAATTTCTTTTAAATACAAGGCCTAAACCAAAATATATGTTGTTGAACACCAAAAAAGCAACAATTTATGTAATAGAATCAATTAACCTCAAAAAGCAATTAATAATATTATAAATTGTATTCAAGTATAGTGTTAATTGTCTATGTTAATTAATTGATGTATTTAGATTGATTTGTAAAAAGTTGAACTAAAAAATATAATAAAAAAGATAAAATATAATAAATTGTAAATATCTCATTGGCGCAGTTTCAAATGGAAAAATTTAATAGAATGGAGTGCGATAAAGGCAATTAATAATATGATAAATTGTATTCAAATATATTGTTAATTGTCTATGCTAATTAATTGATGTATTTAGATTGATTTGTAAAAAGTTGAACTAAAAAATGCAATAAAATAGTTAAAATATAATAAATTGTAAATATGTCATTGGCGCAGTTTCAAATGGAAAAATTTAATAGAATGGAGTGCGATATGGAAGTTTATAATCAAAAATGGAATTCATTTTTAAAATAGCCAAAATATAAGGCAAAAAATCATTTTTATTAGCAAATATTGGACTAGAGGTTTATTCAAAATTATTTACTTTATGTTTGCCAAAGACATTAGATAAAATATCATATGATGAAATATCGAAGAAAACAAATTCTATGCTAGAGAGATATTATTTTTTTACAGAACAAGAAAAAGGAGAAACAATTACAGAATATATAAATAAATAAGATAAAACATGTGATTTTAAAGATATGTATAATACAGTATTGCGAGATAAACTAGTGTTGGGAATTACTAATGAAAAAATATTAATGAAATTAATCAACACACCGGACTTGACATGGGAAAAGGCTGTACAAATCGCTACTTCAATGGATACAACAGAAATGATTTCATATGAAAAATTATCTGCAGGAAAGGAGATAAATAAAATATCAACAATAACAAGGGAACAGTATAATAAGTATAAACCAGTTTCAAAAATTATTTGTTATTGTTGTGGATTAGAAAACCATTTAAAAACAAATTGCCTAAATTTAGATACTATTTGTCGTAACTGTGGAATAAAAAGACATCTGCAGAAAGTATGCAGTAGGAATCGTGGTAAAAAAGAATATATTCGAACGATAGATATCGCAGATAAGGAGCAAGAAAGTTTTGAGGATTGGGATTCTCCAGAGGAGTCGCGAAAAAAATTTGAGGTGAAATTATTGATAGATAAAATATATATTAATTTTTTAATTGACACAGGATCGGCAGTCTCCTTTTTCAATATAGAAGACGTTGATGTTACCAAATAAAAAAAAACGGATATGATTTTAAATTCTTATAATAATATAATGATCGATATTATAGGCAAATGTGTATTACCCATTAATTATAAGAATAAAATTATATATCATGAATTTATAATTGTAAACAATGGTATTAATTTGATTGGTAGAAATTTAATAAACAGATTAAAGTTAATAATAATAAATCAATAATACAATGAATGAGGTTTGGGAGGATATTGAAAAATAATTTTCATCATTATTTACTAAGAAATAGGTTTACTAAAAAAGTTTAAAGCGAGCTTATCGGTAAAACCCAACCCCAATTTTCAATGTTTCAATGTAGACCGATACCATATGCGTGGAAGACAAAACTAGAAACGGAATTATAAAGACTGGAATCCATGGGAGTTTTAAAAAAGCTAAAATACTCGAATATCGCTTCACCGATCCCTGGAAAAAGATGGATCCTTACGAATTTGCGGTGATTTCCGACAGACGGGTAATGCATATATTTTGATTAATAATTATCCTATACCTAGAATTAATGAATTATTAGCCACATTAGGTAATGGATCAAAATATAAGGTATTAGATCTATCAGAAGCTTATTTTCAAATAGTGCTAGATGAGGAGGCAAAAAAGCTGTTAGTGATCAACACACCAAGTGGATTGTATCGCTTCACACGACTTCCGTTTGGGGTAATCTCAGCGCCAACCATTTTCAACAAGCAATGGATTCGTTATTAAAAGGACTACCTGGGGTAGCGGTGTATTTGGACAATTATTACTGAGGAATCAATTGAGATTCATAAAAAAATTTGATAAATATATTAAAGACGCTTGAAATAAAAGGTATGAAATTAAATCTAAAAGATGTAATTTTTTTAAAGAAAAGATTGAAATCTTAGGTCATGCCATTAGCTAAGAGGGAATCACAACAACAAATAAGAATGCCAATGCAATTTTAGACGCACCGTTACCAAAAAACGTTAAAGAATTATAAGTTTTTATCGGTATAATTAATTATTATCAAAAATTTATAATAATTTTTCGACATTGACGCTCCGTTATATAGGCTTTTAAGGAAAAATGTGCCATGGAAATGGACAGAGAATGAAACAAAAGTAATTAATAAATTTAAAAAATTAATATCAAAAGCACCAATTTTAACACATTATAATCCGGAAAAACCGATAATTCTTGCTGCTGATGCGTCCCAACATGGAATAGGAGTATTTCTATCTCATATCATTAACAATGAGGATAAACCAATTGGATTCGCGTCTCGAACATAAAATGCTGCCGAACGGAATTAGTCAGATAGAGCACGAGGCTTTAACCATTATATTTGGAATTAAATTTAAAATATTTAATTGGTAACATTTTACTATAATCACTGATCATAAACCACTTATATCGTTACTTAATTCACTAAAAGAATAACAGATATGTATCAAGATTAATATGATGATCATTACTACTAGCAAATTATGATTATGAATTGCAACTTCGAGGGACGAAAAAAATAGTAATGTCCCCAATTGAGGGTAAACCATCTGCTTGGGAATAGTTAGATATTAATTTAATAGTATCGGATATTCCACAATTTATTTCAGCCTTAGATATAAAATCACACACAAGAAATGACCCGATATTATCAAATGTATCACGGTACTTTGCAAGTGGGTGGCAGAAGATAATAGAGGAAAATTTAAAACCGTTTTTCCAGCGCCGAAATGAACTCACGATGGAGGCAGGGTGTATATTATGGGAATTAAGAACCATAATTCCAAAAAAAATACAAGTAAATATTTTATCTTTTTTACATATGGGGCATGAGGGTTATACTAAAACAAAATTATTGGCCCAAGAAAACGTTTGGTGGCCGAATATTAACGAAGACATCGAAATACATGGTATTGTGAATTATGTCAAACAAATAACCCTGGCGGTAAAACGATTATAGGGAAATGTCCCTCTGCAAATGAACCATGGGAATTCATTTAGATTTTGCCGGATCAATTAACGGAGATTTATATCTAGTAATAATAGATAGTTTTAGTAAATGGCCTGAAATACAAAAACTGTCGACAAATACTTTTACAGAAGTAAGAAAGATATTGTTAAGACTTTTTGCTATTTTCGGTTACCCCAATACGAGTGTTACGGATAATGGGCCCCCATTTCAAAGTAGAGAATTCAGTTTATTTTGCAAACAATTATCAATTAGAAATGTATATAGTGCCCCGTACTACCCTAGAACCAACGGAGAAGCGGAGCGGTTAATATAAACTTTAAAAATTTTTTAAAAAACATATGATTATAATAAAATACAAGATTATCTGTTTAATTATCAAAATACGCCACAAATAACCACAAAACAATCACCAAGTTCAATTATGCTTAAATTTCAACCCATAGGACCCCTAAAATTAATAAAATTAATTTATCCTCATCCATACATACCCCAGTTACCAGGTTTTTTTTAATATAAATGAGAAAATATATTCAAAAGATTTTAAAAATGATATTGGGATACCAGGTATCATCGTTAAAAGAACAGGACCAATGACATTTTTAGCTAAGACTCAATTAGGGTTATAGAGAATACATATTAATTAGTTAAAACATAGGTTCGAAGATTACGATTTTAAAAATAGAGAGAAAGGAAAATAAGTATACACGATGCAAACTATACCAAGAATGGATGAAAGTGATCATATACAAGACTATAATTCCAAAAACATTGATCCTAGGCACGACTCGATGACTAAAGACATTGATCCGATACAAGACTCAATAACCAAAAATATTAGCATAAATGATAAGATGGAAATCGACAGTACAGATCAACCCGTGGTAGAGAACGAAAGTACAGGTAGCCGTTATTCAAAAAGGATAAGAAAACAATTTATGCAATGTAAATTCGAGAGAAAGGAGAGAATAGATGTAATACAATCAATTAACCTCAAAAGGCAATTAATAATATGATAAATTGTATTCAAATATATTGTTAATTGTGTATGTTAATTAATTGATGTATTTAGATTGATTTGTAAAAAGTATATAAACTGAACTAAAAAATATACTAAAAAAGTTAAAATATAATAAATTGTAAATATGTCAATTTATAATCTTGGGGAGTAATTACTTCTATGAAATATCAGAATTCATCATATATATATTGATAACAATTTTTGCTTAACCTGGCCTGGTCCATTTATTTTTTTTTGGTTTGGCCCAAAAAGAGGTTACCCGATGTGTCAGGTATTGCAGATCTTTTGTTACTGGTGTGCAATTTTGAAATAAATATACTAAATACTTATTTGTAACTCAACCTTATTTTATATATTTGAATTTAAAAAACAGGATTAAAAAATTTAATTAATAATTTATAAAATATTTTAAAATATAATATATTAAAGAGTATATATTACAATAAAATAGCGTGAAGAAAAAATAATAAATCATAAATATTTTTATATGCACAGTGGGATAGCAGATGTCTTGTCCCATTTTAATTTTTATAATATCTTATGAAATAAAAATAACATTATAACGAAATTATATGAGATTTTTGCTATAAATTTTCATTATTTTCAATAAAAAAATTTACCTAATCGGATTTTGGACATAAATTTCTGTGCGTGAAGGGGTTGGCAAGATATGGCGAAATGTCAAATCTTTTTCTTTTTTTTAAAATTGTATTAAACGATTTATTTAAAAAATTTTTTTTTGGCCTAAATGAAACGAATGCCATTTTAACATTATGTGCGCAAAATGAATTATCGACCTGGGTTCAGAATATGGCCATCTTTTCCTTTGACTATTTTAGTAGTAAAGTATTAATTTTTTTAAAAATATTAAAATTTGCATATTTTTTTCATTAAATCGAACAAGAAACAAAATTTGGCGGCCCTCGCTCATGCCGACTGTGAGTCTGTTTCGGGTAAATAGTAAAATAGCTTAAGTTACCATTTTGTTTTTTTTTCTCAAATTATTTTAATTGAATAATTTTGTCCAATCGTTCTTGATAATATGGTAATTTAAAGAATCAATAATATTTTAATTGGTATGTTTTTCTATATTTTATATTCTTCTAATACTATGATGATTCTCATATAATTTCTTTCTCGAAAGGTCCAAAATTGAGCATCAACGAATAGGAGGATTATTTCTCAAAACATATCCACAAATTTCTTCGCTCATCAAAAAATACTGTTCAAATCATCCTTCTGCTATGAGAATAGTGATAGACGTTAAAAGGGATGGCATCCAAACCTATTTAAATACCTTGAATAATCTTCAAAATGTCAGTCAACCGAGTACCAAAAATGTTAATATCAAGAAAATCAGCGAGGTGGAACATTGGAAAAAGCTATGTGCTGGTTTAAGCCTTCCTTTTAGGCACTTGGAAAGATACCCGACCTTTTTAAGAGAATTGTACCGTTTATTACCCGTATTACCTATTCATTTTATACACATATTATTATACCTACAGGGCCGTAGCCAGTAATATTTTTTAGACTATTATTATGTCAAGATTACTTCGCCACAAATTCCTAAATCGAGTGTTTAATATCAGAGGTGCACCGATATCATGTTTTGGCCGATACCTATACTGCCGGGTACAGACCGATACCAAGCACCGATACTTATATATTGAAAATACAGAAAGCACGTCACAATTGCTTTATGATTTTAACTTTAATTCATCAATTTTTTTATTTTAAATATATAAAATTTTATTAAAATTAATTTTTGAAATTTAAAATCGGTAAAATTTTTTTATAAAAATTAGTTTCCGAATATAATCTTGTTTAGATATCTCGGTCCGCCAATAATGAGCGAAATAAATTATGAATTCGGGATTTTCTTTTCGGACAGTGATTGTTCTTTTTTTTTAACTAGACAAAACTAATATAAATATGAGAACGAAAATGTAACAAACAGAATTTTGTATACTAATAATTTTATGTGATAGATTATACAAATATTTAATATATTTTGCAAAAAATATTATCTCAAAATTGTTGTGAAAAGTTATTCAACTAAACAAGATGATTAAATATTTTGTATTGGCAAAAAATAAAAAGTATTTACAGATGCCAACACCGGCCGATATGTGGTATCGATGCATCTTTTAATATATAAGTTGAAGAATATCTAGCATATTTCATGATATTGAATTTAGACAAATTAGATAAAAATAATTTATGTAATATTTGATAATTTTTTAACTTAAGACTAACCTCTAATCTCATGAAGTTGCATAAAATGTATTTTTAAAATTTGCAAAAATCGGCCCTGTGCATTTTTTTATTTACGAATTTATATTTGAGTCAATTTATAATAACATAGGAAAATCACGTAGATCGTGGCGATATTCAAAGAGCTATCGAATTATACTGCGACCTTATGGTAATTTATTTCATAACCTTAAATATCCACATTTTTATTGATTTCATATGTAATTTTATTAAATTATATTTTTAATAGTAAAATCGATATTTTAAAATTTTTGCAGCAATGATGGGGATGTTTTCTTAACTTCTGTTGGGTATTTTATAATCATTTTTTTTAACAAATGCAATATCCAGGTACAACTGCAAGACATTAGGAAGCAAAAGGAATTTGAATTGGAAATCGTTACAAATTCAATTGAAGGCTGGGAGGGAGAAGTTTTTAACGACATTTAATTAACATTTTATGTTTTATTTATTGAATGATTTATAGATAAAAGTTAAAATTAACTAGCCATATTTGATTTGTGACACTAAAGATATTTATAAAGGTGTTTCATTATATCCATCAATATCCAAAAGTGAATTAAATTATATCTAGATAAATAAGTAATCTGTTTTGGGTAAAGTTGTACAGTTAAATAAAATATAATTGTTACTAGGCTTAGGAAACAAAAACTATAAAATGTGAGCTACAATAATATTCTAAATTATGTATCCAAACAGTGACGTATTTAGGGTTTTCTTATGGGGGGGGGAGAATTTTTTTGGGGCTTCACCCCCAAACCCCCCTTACATGGCCTTCGGCCAGCTTTTCCCCTGTCTTCTGCCATGTCTTATGTTTTAGCTATTCTTTTAAATTATTTATAATTTAATAATGATAATATTTCTATTTTTAACTATTATTTACTAATTCGTGCTTATGGATATTACAAGCCTATTTTTTATTATTTTAAGTTAGGTATATTATATTTAATAAAGTTTTTTTAAATGTATAGTTGAAATAATAATGTCATTTTTTTTATTAAATTTGCTTTAAAAACTAGCCTCAGCTTAAATTCTCATACAATATAAGTAGAATATAATTTTTTTATTGAAAATACTAATAGTAGTGTGTATAAAATATTGACTAGAAAATAATTTAAAAAACAAGTTTTTTTTTAACTTCTTATCAAATACAATATTATACAAAAATTTTTATTAAGTACTATAATTATAATGTGATTTTTAATTTTCGTGGGAATGTTGCCAATTCATCAAGAATTTCGTTTGTCGTTGGAACCAAATCTCTGTGGATATTTAACAGAGCTAACCCATTTAGCCGAGATTCGGAAGTAGTACTTCGTAAATATGTTTTCAACCTTCTCAAGTTGGAAAAAGTCCTTTCATTCGTACATGTTCTAATAGGCAAACATGCAAGAATATAAAACAACTTCAAAATATTAGGAAATTGAGCCATGGTTTCTTTACACCGATTGAGCGCATCAATAGCATGCTCAGGTAAAATAGCTAAACTTAAATATTTATACCACAATTCGAATTCACTGATTAAATTTATTTCAGTATAAATATCATAGGAATAAAATTTTACCAATAGTGGCATTAGAAAACGAAGAAGGATCTTTGGGTAATAAAACTTGAAGATTGCTAAAGACTTGTTTTTTTTATCTAAAAACCGTACTTTTATTTGCGATAAAGAGGTATCTAAGAATGGGATGATGATGGATATTTTATAATATTCTTCAGTTGAGCCAATATTTATTTTACATTTCAATAATTGCTTAGGTGCTAGATTAGGTTTAATTAGTGTTCTATCATAAAATTTAGCCTTCGATTCAACGTCTAGATAAATATTATGGAAATATTCATCTGCATTCATTCTTATTGTATCTACCTATTCATATATATTTTCCGCCAATCACTAACCTGAATCAAATCTAAATTTGGTTTTTGTAAATTTCTACAAAGTAGTGAGCTATAGGAAAATAATTTATTGATGCAACTACCAACAATGATAAACTCTAAATGATCAATTGAATTCAATAATGATATCGCTTCTGACGACACATTACTTTTTTTCATGGTCAGCCTTATTTAACTTTTGTATTTCTATTTCTTCTGTTCTACAAAATGGAAGTAAAAATGAAAAATGTTTAAAAAATTATAGATATTTATTAATAATTAAAATATTATTAAAAATACTTATTAATTCTAACTCACTAATAATTTTGAATTTAATAAAATAATTATATACAATAATAAAATAAATTACCGTTTGATTTCAATCTCTTTGACTAAAAATTTTTCCATTTTATTAATATTTTTAAATAATATTAATGTACTCACAAGGAAAGGAAATTATAATAAAATTTATTTATAAAAAATAAGTTTTATGTTGGAAAATTGATATTCAAATATTTGTAAAATTTTGATTGGGGGGAGGGGGGGGGGTAAATTTTTATGCTATTCATGAATATTTATAAGATATAGGATTTAACTTTTTTAAAATGATTTTTAAAATTTAAAAAATTGGGTTTTTTGGGAATATTCACTTTCAATAAATTCCCAGTAAATATTCCCGACTTAACATCCCTAGCTCATACCTAATTTTTTAAAATAAATTTGGATGGGGCTCAGGATTACTTTTTTTAAATCCTGCCTAACTCAGGCTTGAAAAATCTAAAAAATGAAATAGAAAATATTATTTTATTTTCTCTTAATTTAAAAAGTCAAAATCAGAGCTATATATTTTTTTAAAATCATAACATATAGGGGGGGAGGGGGCAAAAAAACTCATTGAGATCTGAGGAAACTGCCTCGGAACACGACGATTTGAGTTGATTGTGACATTTTAAAAGAGGATCAATGATCACTATTAATTTGAGAATTTTTTTTACCTAAAATCATAAAAAAATAATAGCCTAGGGGTCCTAGGGACCCATTGGTAGAAATAATTATTGGGATAAAGTGAAAATCAGAAAAATTATGGTGCTCTCATTTTTGACCTTTCAGTTGTAATCAATATTTGGGTTAGAGGATATTATAAAATATAATTAGAACATGACTGGGTTAGTGACAAAACAATTGGTGATTTTTATTTAATTTTAATGTATAAGAGTGTGTGTAATGGTAATAGGAAAAAAAACCCCTGGAAAATTCCAATTCAAAAAAAAGAAAATCGCTATTTTTAAAAAAATTTTCTTAAATTTTTTTCTTAATTTATATTATTCTTCCCTTTTTTGCTTTAAGTCATTTTAAATCTTTATTTTTCTGATCTTTTCTCAATTTTTTTCTTCTCAATTTTCACTTAATTTTTTTAGTATAACCTAGCAATAATTAATTTTGATAAATAAATTTATAAGTGAGTTCTCATGGCAGAATTAGTAATGTTTATCAGAATTGAAAACGTTATAATTCCTGGTATTTAGACAATTGGAAATTAATAATTTGTATTATCTTTATATGGTATATAAAGACAAAATTTTTTTTTATTGTATTTTAATTTGATAATTTACTAATATAATATTTAAGTCATAAAATTTATATTTTATTAAAAAAAATTAATGGATCTAATTAGTCCTGGAAAAATCATATTTAAAGGTTATTCTTATACCATCCATAAAAAATGCTTAAACAAGTTAAGATGGCGCTGCTCAAAATATTCATCTTTTAAATTCCGAGCAATACTTTCATCAACACTCGAAAATCAAAATTCGATAGTTGAAACAGCTCATAATCATCCATCAAATTTTGATGGACTAGTAGTAATGAAATCTGTTGCAAACATGCGATGTGCAGACACTTTAGAAAAACCTCTTTAAATTTATGCAGAGGAAGTTGTAAAATTAATTCAAAGTGTTCAGTCACACATGATACCCGAAGATTCAATCAAAAGAACTCTAAGGAATCATAAGGCAAAGAGCAATCTTTCAAATCTTGAGAATTTGGAAGACTTAGTTATTGAAGGTATTAGTATAAATAAAATTAATTATATTTTCATAAAAATTTAAATATTATAGGTGATTGGGCGAATTGTGGTTCCCAGAACGAAAATTATTTGATAATGGCCCACTTGCTGAAGAACGTATTACCATGTTTGCAACGGATGAATCCTTGAATTTAATATCAAATACAACAGCATGGTATATGGATGGAAATTTTGACATGTCCCCCAAAAATTTTCTACAATTATATATCATTAGAGTATCAATAAACAATATTTTTATCACCGCTGTTTATTGTGTACTCCAAAAAAAAACACAAAATACTTATGAAAAAATATTCGAAATATTAATGTCTAAATATCAAGAAAGGGATTTATTTCCTGATCCATTACATATATACATGGATTTCGAAAAGTTTGCTATGAGCGCGGTTAAAATTGTCATTGGTATGATTATTAATATGTTAAATTATTTATATTTATTTTTCCAATTAGGAGATCATATCATAATCAGTAGATGCTTTTACCATTTGTGTCAAAGTACCTATAGGAAAATACAAAAGCTAGGTCTGGAAAGCCAATACAGAACCGATGAAGCCCTAAGCTTCTTTTGTTGCATGATGGACGGCCTGCTTTTGTTCCTTTATGTGATATGGACAATGCAATGGCATTGCTGAGATAAGTTACTCCTACCAATGGTAAAGATATTCTTGAATATTTCGATAAAAATTACATCAATGGAGTATCAAGAAGCAATTCTCAATCCCAGACACGTCGAATTGGGCCTCGATTTCCTCCAGAAACTTGGAACATGAATGAGAGCACTTTATCCGACGAAGAACGCACAAATAATCAATGCGAAGTTTGGAATCATCATTTTTCTAATCTGGTTGGGAACAAACACCCATCAATCTGGGTATTGATTGAAAAAATGAAATGCGAGGTGGCTACTGATGAAACCAAACTTGAACGATGGCGTGTAGGTAGTTGCACACCGAAAACAAAATCGCAGAGTTACAATACACAGATTCGGTTAAAGAAACTTTGCGAGGAATACCGTGATGGGGTGCGAAGTCTTCCTGATTTTATGAGGGCGTTCCTTCAATATTCGATGTCAACCGATATAATTATCATTCGAAATTATTAAATTTGTATATACATAATAATGATTTTTCAATAAAATAAACAGATCTTATTGCAAATATTTTGGTATTTTTTTGTCCCAGTACCAATTTGAACAATTTTTTATGGAGGGTATATGAGTTATCTTTAAGTAATGAATTGGGGCATATAAAAAATTTATTATTAAATTGTATTTCTATAATATTTTTTTCTAAAATACTAGGGTTTTTTTTCCGGAGGTTTTGGTTTTTTCCTGAGGTTTTTTTTCCGGGATTCGTGTGTAATAATTTTTCAATTAAAGTGTCGGGCTGCCTTAGCAGTCCAAATTTGGGGTCGGGCCAGGTTAGGCTTAAAAAATAAAGTTAGAAAATTAAATTTCCAATTTCCTAATTTGACTATAGCAAAAAAATTATCTCCCAACTCCTTACATGTTTTGTGATGAAATGCACCTCATTTACTTATAGTATAACTCAAGAAATAATTAAGCTTTAGAAATGATTAAATTTGATTATATAATATTATCTAATTAATATGAATACCGTAAAAATAAATCAGTAATGCTCAAAACCGGAAATGATTTTAAAATAAAAAACACATTATATATTTAATTTAAAAAAATATTTATATTTTTCCAAGAACATCAAAGCGCTAGGTCATATCGTTTCCATCACTACGGCAAGTATAATTTCGAGAAGTTCTGAAAATCTGAATTGTGATGGATTCAATCAAAAAGACGAAAAATATTTTGTTTTATTTCCTGAAACCTTATTGATAATATCCCCCAACTTTACCTTAAATGGCTTCTTATACGAGGTATGTTTCAATTACATTCAATTATATATGAAATCCATATTATTCTAAGATATTAATAACTTATAGCCTTGCGGATAGCTATTATATTATAAGTATTTTTTTAAATAGGGAAAAATTCCTATAGCAGGATTGAAAACCGAAAGCATAAAAGTATCTGAAAATTTTAATGAGGATACAACTATTATTATTACAGGTATAATATATTTTTATTTAGAGTCCTGCACAAGTCGCATTCGGCGTATAATTCTTATTTTAAATAGCGGACCTGACCAGGACTTCTTTTATAATAAAGTTTACCCAAAAAACTAGAATGTTATATAGCTTACCAACAAGGTCCAATCCCAAGGACTTTGTTAGTTAAGTAGAAATATTGAAAACTTATAATCGATTTTCATTTTTAAAATTTAATTTATATAAAATAGCCATTATTGATTGAAATAATATTATATCTATAAATAAAATGTATTATAATATTTGACCATAAAGATCGAACCGTTATACCTAAATACACCTTTATAATTTTTTTAACTATAATTAACCTTTATACCAAATCGCTTGAACTGAACATATTATATTTTCTGAATCGCTTTCCCGTTTGTTTTATATATAAAAATGTAATTAAAACCATTTATTTGATAAATTACACTTTTCCTGAGGAATTTTTATTATTTTTTCATACGCTAGTTTTTTAAATTTTGCAGCTAATAAATATCCTTTCACATCACTTTCATTTTTATAACATAAATAAGCGATATTTTTATTTTAAAACATTTTGATTTTTTGTTGCTTGATTACATTTAAATTCAAAATATATATAATAGTAAAACTTTTTATGATAAAATAATGTTCACAATATAGTTATTTTTAAAAAAATTAAATTTACACTGGTTGACTAAAATAAATTACTATTACAAAATCTTATTTAATTATATAAAAAATATCAAAATTATTTATATATTTTTTTTTATGTAATATCATGTAATTAATTATAATATACCTAATTCTTGATTTTTTCTATTTTGCTAGTATGGTGATTCATTTTTTTGCTTTTTAAATGGAGAAGATGATAGGATTTAATAAATAAATTTTTAAATTTTAGTTTTTTTTTGGAATATGTAATTTATCCAAGTTGCAGAGCGGCGACTCGTAAAATTTTCTGTGCAGGATGTAATTTTTAAAGAAATATTGTAAAATATTAATGGGCCAATATTATCTGTTTTATAAAATATTTCAATCGAGCCCCACTGCCTGAAGTCAGCCTCTATGCCAAATTGCGTATCTAATTTATTCGAGAAAAATTTGACATAAATATTACAAATATTCTAAAACTCCCAAAAATATGACTTTAAAACCATAACAGAATCAGAACCTTTTTTAATGTATGCACCTGAACTACAACCTTTATAATTTTATGTCACTAAACTGTAACCGTAACTTTTATAGAGAACAGTTCGGATTCCTGTTTAGACACATAAATATAGAAATGCTGATGATAAATTTTCTTTTAAAATTTTGATTGGTATAACAATTTTAGATTTTCTATCTATTTTATACCTACAAGATAGTACAAATCTGCTATTTATTTTAAGAAATTTTGGGTTCGGCTCTATATGTGATTTCCATTTCATTCCTAGCTGATACTGATATTATTTACCCATACCAAATCTATCAAATATTGTAGGCCTTTTTTTATATTTATTTTTTTTAACAATAATTTTATTGAAAATATTAAGTAAAAGATATTGGTCGGAATATTTTTATAAATTAAACAATTTAGCGTTGAATTTTTTTAGGCAACATTAATAATTCTATTAAACCCAGGAATTTTGATTGATCCTATCATAGCCCAATGCAATAATATTAAAGAAAAAGATAGGTTTATTGAAAATATGAGCCTACTTCAAGCCAAAAATGTCTCCAAAATGTTTGACGCGTCAGTTATCAATCAAAAAAACATTGAAAACTTGGTTCCTAAAAATAATGATGATGAAGGTAGAATCGAAAGGCTGACTTATATAAAATCCGGTAATATCACTCTAAAAGAAATCAACAAGCCTAAACAATCAAGTTACGTTGCTCTTTCTGATTCAATTCAGAGCGATTCAAAAACAATTACTACTAAATATCATGACAATACCGCAAACGTGAGTTCTTCCCTCAATGAAATAAGCCATCAAGGACCACCACCGATCAATATAAGTCGTAAAAAATTAGTACCTTCTCTCGGGAATGTAATGAAACCGGAAGAAATAGCTTCTAACAAATCTCACACTCAAATTCAGTTTTCAAGCCCTGGAGGAATGAAGGATAAAGAGGACATTTACGAAACATTTTACATGTCATCCTCCTCTCTCACCAATACCACACTATCCCCATCTCCGTCTTTCGCCATCAAAGATGTTGCTAACGAATCTACCAAATATAGTTTTATTTTTTATTTTTACCCCCCCCCCCCCTCCTGTTTTTTTATTATTTAATTAAGTTTGATTATTTCAAATAACATAGATTTCACAAAATGTCAAAAATGGATTAATTTGCATTCACATATTTTTCCCTATGAGAAATTTTAGAGAAGAGGATTTTTGATATTTTTTAATACTTAAAAAATAAATATTTTATAATTATAAATAAAGAATATTTTTTAGCTGTATATAAATATATTTACATTTTTAAAATATCTTCATTCCTTGAACAGATATTTTATCCGTACCTAATGGTAAATGTTTCACTAGCCGCCATAATAACTTTGTAATTAGTAACGACATTTTAGACAGCAGTATTTACGAAAAATCAATTTCAATATCGGAACCCAAAGTTTTCTACAACCAAAAAGTATATAACCTTTCTATGATCAGCCCTTTATCACCACTTAGACCCAAATTGATGGAGGTATTCCCTGTTCAGAGATCCAATATAGGTTTTTAAGCAAATATTAATGGATTATATTTTATTTGCAATTTAATATTATATATATATTAGAGACCTGCAGATGTCCCAATGCCTCTCCCTGATTTGAAAAAGAAAGGCTGTAGTGTATAAAATTTTTTAGACAAAATGTTTTTGAAATGATATAGTGAAATTTAAATAAAGATGATGCAACAATTTTTAAATATATTTTATTTTATTTTATCTCATCTTAATTTATATATCTATAACATATATAAAAAGCGTGATTTAAAATTTTCGGCCCGGATTTACATTATAAAAAAAAATTCGGCCCTGCAAAATTTTTTTTGAGCCCGACCCGGGTTTATTTAAAAAAATTTACTGAGGCCTCTGATATATATATATATATATTGGTCCCCCTACCATTTAGAGCAATTACAAAAGTGTAATTACGACATCCTTGAATCGAATGAAACCTACGGACACAACTGATATAGATTTGTCTTCTTTCATATTATTTGGGGGAGGGAGGGGGGATATTTTTTTTTGTCGTACGTATAGTCATTAGTTTATTTAAAAGTTATTTTATTTTATGTTGAGTCATTAAGCAAAATTAATATTTCTTATATTTTTTAATAGTATTATTTTAAAAGAATTATTTTTTTGCGATTAGGATATAAAAATCATAACAAAAAAAAGTTGACTTAGAGGTCTGCATTGGGCTAGTTTTTGGTGCATAAGCCTTCCCATCCAAAGTTTTGAAAAAATTTAACCCGCCCAGCCCGCCTATTAGTTTAAATTTTTTTACCCACCCACCCATTATTTATAAAAATTTTTTAACCCAATCCCGCTATTATAAAATTTTAATTTATGGCCATTCTTTTAATTTTTTAAGCATCTAATTAAAAAAAAATTCAGCATTACACTTCTACAAAAAGTTTTATAATTTAGGAAATTACTATATTAAGCATAAAAAAATATTCAATTTAAATTATGGATAATTTATTTGATCAAATAAAATATTTATGAAAAAAATTTAAATATAAAATTGATATTATATGTAATTTTAATGCAAAAATAATAATGAATCTACATTTTCTGGATTCAAACACTTTCTTCTTTGTTCTAAAAACCTTCAGCAATGCTAAATCCTCTTTCAGAAGAAGCACTGCTTGCAGGAATTGCCAATATTTTTCTTGCTAATCTTGATAGCTTTGGCAAATCTTTTTCTTGTCGTTTCCACCAAAGTAGTTTTAAATATATATAAAAAAGTTTATTTATTTTAAGAAAAAAGTTTTTATGATACCAAAAAAGGACAATTTTTAATATACAAAAAAGTTCAGAAGAACAATTTTTTATTAATATTTTCATAAATGATTTTTAAATTTAATACAGACCTCTAACTTGACTTATTTTATTTTTGTTTTTCTTCGTTTATTTTTATGTTAATTAGTTGTTGAAAATTTTAATAAACGAAATATAAATATTAATATAGCGCCTCGAACTTGCGTTAAATATTAAAGTGGGGCGTTAAAAAATTAAAGAATTTCTAGTCACAGCGCAATTATAATAGTGGTGGCCAACGAGAAGTGTGTACGGGATAATATATTTTTTTTAAATTGAAAACTAGTTAATAGGAAAAGCTATATATATAGGAATAACGTTGTAAACTAATTAGCAGGAAAAGCGTTGTATATACGGATAAACGTTGATAACTAATTAATAGGAAAAGTGTTATATATGCGGAATAACGTTGTAAACTAATTAGTAGGAAAAACGTTGTATATACGGAATAAAACTAATTAGTAAGAAAACGTTTTATATACGGAATAACGTTGAAAACTAATTAGTAGGAAATGCGTTGTATATTCGGAATAACTTTGAAAAATAATTTAGAAAAAGCATTGATACTGAATAACGTTGAAAACTAATTAGTAGGAAATGCGTTGTATATTCGGAATAACTTTGAAAAATAATTAGTAGGAAAAGCATTGATACTGAATAGCGTTGAAATAGTTAGTTGATGTTATCGAAAGAATTACTCGTTTTATTATTATTATGAATTTATTTTTTTAAAAAAGAATTATATTATATATATTATTTTAAAAGAATTATTTTTTCGCGATTAAGATATTAAAACTTAATAAAAAAGTTAAAATTACTAGACTTATTTTATTTTTGTTTGAAATATATGTTCTTGGTTGATTTTTATTAATAGTTTTTGAGAATTTTAATAAACCAATAATAATTATTAATATTGTGTCTTAAACTTGCATTAAATATTAAAGTGGGAAATAAAAAATTAGAGAATTTTAAACCACAATGCAATCATAAAAATAACAATCATTATTTATTGCATTTCTGAAAGTAACATCCGTCGCTACCATTTAAACGTGTGACAAGGACCATAAATTTCTTGATTTTGGAGTAGTGCTCAATAAATTAATAAAGTGGAAAATATCTTAGACGTACGAAATACGCTTTTGCTCCTCCCTAGCGAAAGCGACATTAATTTTTAAAAGAAAAATATGAAGATTTAAAAGAGATTCTATAAACTTTTGTAATGGAAATAAATCTGTTAATCTTTGAAAACTAGGATTATATATTCTTTTTACCTTGTAATATTTTGGGAACGAAATATTTCGCCTTTTTTTAAAAAAAAAATTTCTTGTTAAATGTGGATAACTGCTAAAGTCACAATTTATTTTCTGTTGAGATTTCATAAAGTTTTAATTTATCTAAATTGATATTTTAATTTCTAAAACTTTTTATAGTTTATTTTAAATCTATAGAAAATCTTGAGGACGCACAGCTTTTAAAGATTGTTGAAACCTTAAATTCAGATATCGAAAGTAATATTTTATCCTTTTTTTTAATAATTTTTATTTGACATTTTTTAAAAAAAAACATGTAAACTTTTCTTCTTAATTTTTTTGGCTAGATTGTCCCAGATCTATTTAAACCTGATACGGATCAAATAGTGCATTATTACTATTATTACCAATAATAAAATCCACTATTCGTATTCTTAATAAAATTATTCGAATAATTCTTTTTTATAGAAAAATAAAATATATTAATAATATTAAGCTACAAATATATTAAAATATTAAATAATTTAAAAATTTAATTCATTACACATAAATTATATCAATAATAATTTTAATTAAAAATTTTTTTAAAAACTATATTAGATATTGCCTTGTAAAATTTTAATTTCTATTATTTTATTCTTAGGAATTAAATTTATTCAAATAACATTAATTAAATTTTATCTTTATCGTTTAATGGGGACTAAACAGGTTTAACCCAATAAGCAATATTCCCTCTGATTTATTTTTTCCATTTTTAATAGTCCTGGACATCGCTATTTGTAAGACCCATTATTCTCATGTCATCAGTTATCACTTTCACTCACATCGTCGTTTGCCTGTCTCGGGGCCTTGATTCCATTACTTCATCAAAATATATCTCTTCCCCAATAGACCTTCTTTGGAAATGCTCACCACTTCTGTTTATTTATTCCCATCACCATTTCAATCCTTTCTCGCGATTCTTTGCTTTTTTTATTTCTCTCATTTCCGTTCTTTCCAATTTAGCTTCTTATGCCGCTTTCAATACCCATGTTTCGCCGCCGCAGATTATAAAGCTTTCATCAACTTTTCTTTCAACATTAGAGATAATTGTTTATTTGTAAGAATAGACCATTTTTCTAGAAATTCTAACCAGCATTTAGCTTGTCACCTAAATAGCAAAATTTTCCTATTTTTCAAAGTAGTTAAATTGCCGATAGTTAAACCACCCTTATCTACCTTTTATCATGGATCACTTTCATGAATGTTCTCAACTTGCTATTATCAGGCTTCCTCTCTAACAACTACATGCACTCATTTCTGACAGCTAGTGCATTGAATTGAATTTATAGCAACATATTTTCCATGCACTCCACAGAGCCAAATGCCAGTTTCGTCCTTATTTCTAGGTCTTTCTTCTCCAATCATTTTAATCTTTTCTTCTCACTTTTAAACCATTTGCTTTCATAACTGTCTTTCCTATGATTATCTTTGTTGCCAACAGTACAAGATCTTTAGCTCCCCATGAGAATCTTTTACGTTTCTCTCTCATCACCACTTCAATTACTATGATATTTATAATGTACTTAAGACTGGTCTTTGAAGCAGCCCCACCTTTATTTTCTAGCTTTCACTATCCACCATCATGTGTCCTAACAACTATTCGGGTATCCTCGTGTATTTTCATCACTCCCAAAACCAACTAATTCTCTGCACTTGATTTCTCAAGCCTATTTTGCAACCTCACGCAAGACCCTCTCCAACGTCATCAAGTCTTTAAATGCGTAATGTGAATTTTTCTTCGCCTGATACTTTTCTTGTATAAGTCTTACGTTTTGCTACGAAAATCGCATTGATTGTTTCTTTCCCGGATGTAAAGATCATCAATTTTCAATTGATCTCTGATTCTCCAGAAAACTTTCATTCCATATTCCAGTCACCCTACGAGCCACAATCTAGTGCCTCGCTTAATTCCTTAAAAATTAGAATTATTCACTTGCATAAAATAGAATTGCATTGGTATGTCATTCACTCCAATTTCTTTCGCTGTTTTCATCATGTCTGTTATCATTCATGTTAGGACTGCTGCTTTACCTCTCTTCAGCTTCTTCAAAGTTTTCCTAACTTCCTCCTTACTTAAACTTAATCACTTTGAACATATTAATCCTACTCATTTTAATCATCTATTAATTGTTTCTTCAATGCTTCCTTAATCTCTTCACTATCAATAACAAGATTCTCACAGACATTTTTCACACATTGCGCCGTAACTACATCCTGTCTCATCATTTGCTTCGCGATTCGATCGATCTTTCCCTGGTTTCCAACTCATAAGCAGTGGTGTCACTAGGGGAGGGGGCAAATTTTGAAATTTTTATATAGTTGAAAAATATTATTTGTTAGCTAAAGTAGGAAGGCCATGAAAATCTAAAAAAAGGATTTTAAATAAATAATTTTTGAGCTCCCTGAGATTGTAAAGGCTAGTGATATTACTGCTCACGAGCAAATTTCCCTAAAATACGAATAGATTTTCCTCAAAATTCAAGAAAGGTGAGAAATATATTTTTTTTAAATGTGCAAATAAGTATGGTTATTATTAAAATAAACAAAGATAAAATGATAATTATTAATTATGCTTTTTATTGTTATTTAAAAATCGATATTTATTCAATTCTTTACATTTGAAACTATATAAATAAATAATATATTTAATGAGGACTGGAATTCTCCCCCCTTCACCACACTCCTTTTCTTGGAGGCACATCTAGAGAAATTTTTTGATTAAGGTTGTTTCATGAAATAAGAAACGTACAAAATATTCCAAAATTTATATTTTAATGAAAGATATGAATCTAATTTAATCCTACCCCCTCCCCTATTCTCGAAAATTAAGTTAAATTGAGTTCACTTTGCTTACCATTCATTAAGATAGAAGAGGATCAGCGGAAAATTTTGTTTTTTGATGTTATTTGAAGTAGAATGACCTATCACAATTTTTTTATACCGTATTAAAATTCAGGGATTAAGCATGATACTAACAATTTTATCAATACTCCCACATGTGTTTTTTTAGTTCATATATAAGTTTATATATATCCATTAAATTGCTCCATTTTGTTTCTTTGATATATTACAATGACTCCCATATTCAAATTGAATAGATCGGAAATAAAATAGGTTTATTATAACCCTTAAAATACATGAACGCAAACATAAAAAATCCAATTAAATAAATTTTTTCATTTCAGCAATGCTTCTTAAAAAGCAGAATTTTTTACAATTGAATGACTATTATCTTTTTCTTCGTTTAATAACCCCTTTTCCAGGTCTACCAGGGTAGCAGTCGCCTCCTTTAATCCTCTCCATTTTTCGCGATCTTGAGTATTTCCTTCAAAGAGACCTATTCTTTCCATGCCTATCTTCACCACATTCATCCATATTATTTTTAATCATCAATCTATTTTTCACTACTTCCAGTAAATTTCTTGACCTAATCTTTAGATTTCCGTTCTATGTCCAAACTATCTCAACCTATATCTTTATTACATCACCTATCACTGATACTCCAAGCCTTTCATGTAAAACACATTTTTCTAGAACCAGCAAAGTTTTTATCCGTAATACTTAATGAGATCTCTCTGAACTTAGTCCATTAAAATCTGATCTTTACCACGACCACTGGGTCAATGCCCTTATATGCGCTCAGCTTATCACTTAAGTAACATATTTTCCACAAAGTATCTCTATTTCCGATATCTAATCTTACCATATCAGAAATAACTTGCGTTTCACCCATTTTCTACAATCATATAACTTTTCCTTCTCCAGACTTCTCTCCATTGCACCTTCTATTAGCTTAATTTCTAACATGCATATTTGATTTAGCTTCTAGCAACACCTTTGCCACATACGCCGCAAAAGGTATTTTCAAATCTTTTGCACAATCCTTACTTTCATTTCTACTACACTCATTCATAATCCTTTCGCTTTCATTTAAATATTTTATTCTCAAAGATGTTCTATATGTTAACAATACAAAATTATTGCCATATACATCACGAGGGTTTTGATATAAATCTGTTAATAAATTATGAAAAGTGAAGATCGACTGATAATATGATTATTTAAATTAACATTATGATTTTTTTTTTAACTCAAAGCTTGCTACACATTTATAAATTTAATGATTTCATTTTATTTAAAGATTGGGACAAAAATAAATTTGAAGATTATTGGATGAACGGAAATCAGTCCGACACTACATATGCCATAATTAATAAGAAGTTTAATATTTTAATTAATATTTAATGCTTTTATCGAATTACAAAATATTTTTTTTAATATAATAGAAAATTAGTCGGGTTATTTCATTATCTATTATTTCTAATTTTCCATTCATTATACGAAATAAAAATATAAGCACCTCATATTTAAATATAGATGTATTATAAATTTTCAAATATATATTTATTATATTTTTTCTAATAATAATAGTTCCAAAGATTATGACAAACACGTGGTATATCAAATAAATTCAAAAATAGACCGAATGTATCAGGTTTATATTGAACATATTCATGTGAGGATTGGCATAAATTTAATCTCATTTTTTTTAAATGTGTAGCGACTTGAAAACTTAGAATGTAATATGGTTTTATTAAGACAGAGTTTAGAAACTGAAACGTTGGCTAGACTTAAATTACAAATTATAGTGGATGAAAAGTTAACAGATCTAATTAACTGAACGATGAAGAACTTCATTTACATATGACCTACAATAATATATATGTATTTTTTTTCTCATGTGATTGTGACTTAATTTATTTTTTTTAAATGTTTTGATATTTTAAAAAATTTGATACTGATATCGGTGATATATACGTAATTATTTTAATTGATATATAAAACCCAAATTGAATTTGTTATGTTAATTATATTTTATTGACTGTATCATTAATCATTATTAGCGCTGAAGGTTAGTAGATGAAACTAGTTTTTGTTTTGGATGTGAATTTTAACTTTTGAGTTATTCTAATATAATTGTTTAATATTTTTTTAAAAAATATATTTGTATTCCGGAAATTCGGCTAATGACTCTCCGTTGGATGTTATTGGTTTTTATTTTTAGTGATTTTTTATAAAATATCTAACTACATTGGTGAATACTTTATTAGGATAATGGTATACATCCATTTTTTTAGATATAAAAACCCTGAACTATATATATGTCTCACCCTACCCATTTTCCTAAGATATATTCACAAGAAAATTGGTTTGTCCATTCAGACATATAATATAACATATAAAACTATGAACCTTATTTTTTTTCCAGTGCTCATAAATAATATATTTTTTTAAATAAACTTTTAACGCGATGAATATCCAGCCAATTAAGTTATATAAATAACTTATTTAATTTTACTTGAAGCAATTATAAAATATAAATTGATATTAGAAAGATACGATATATCAAAGTTAATTCATAAATGTAATAAATAAAACATTAAAAAAATATATAAATCAATTAGTAAAATACATCCTGGATGTTAGTTTAATTTATATGTTAAGCTTATTTAATTAGGGGAGACAGGGTCGCAAGGAGTTTGTCGTAAAATTTGTTCTAAAATAGAATTTTATAATATCCATATTTGGGGTAGTAAATATTTATATTATTTAGCTATTTAAATTTTTATCTGTTATGACATGTTTTTAACGTAAAAGATTACAATATTTTCGCTTAACGTTATTAGTAATAAAATTAAAAGTTTAAACATTACATCATGGACAATATATTAGAGTTAAAACTCTATTTTAATATTTGATAAGGTTTCAGATTGATATGTAATGCTTAATGTTAAGATCATATTCCTATATTTGATTGCTTTATATATTGAAGAATTTATTGATTAACATGAAAAAAATTAAGAATAATACAACGAAAATCAAGAATTTAAATATATCGCATCTTTTGAATTCTAAATCTTTATAATAATTTGTCTTAGTAAGTAAAATCTACTAGAGATGTATTTGATAATAATATTTTTTGTTGTTTGATTGAGCGAAATTTTTTGATTGTGAGCTTTAATTTGAAATACCTCTCTTTGATGCGAAATAGTTTTTCGATAGATTTCTTGCAGTTGTTTAGTTTTATAAATTGTTTCATATTGATATTTAATTTCATCACGTCTTTTATAGTTTTGTATACCATAGTGATTTGTATTTCGTGTATTGTTTCCCTTTGTATGTATAAAGCTATGTTGGCATCGTGTACTAGATTGTGATCGAAGTTTCTTATTATGGCTAGAAACTGAATTCGGCGTTTTTTAATGTTATGTTTATTGGTGTACGATTTTACTTTTGGGTAGAAGATACCATTTATTGTTATGAAGCAATTATTGATAAGGGATTGAAGTCATCTACTGTTTTGTTTATTTCCTATATGTCCCCTCCATAGAGTAATATAGAATTATTGTCAGGTTAAAGATCCGCAGTCTGTTAAATATCGAAATCTCTTTTATTTTCCATACTTTCTATACGTAACCTCTCCTTTTTTGTATTCTAATCTTCATTTCTTCTTTGCAACTACCTTTATTATCCAATTTTGTCTCTCCAACCGTAAGATTTTAAAGCGGTGACATGTTTGGAAAAGGGAGAATAACTGTTTAGTTGAAGTTTATCATTAGTCCAACTCTATGACTCAAGGTTTCTAATAGGTAGATTAAATTTTTGGTTTTTTCTCTATTTTTGAATATTACAACGATGTCCTCTGCATATGATATTATTCTGATTTCAAAACGTATTCTTTCATTTGACCCTATATATATCTATTAGATCGGGCACACCTAGTGCTTTTTTTATGACTTTATTTATTATGATATTAAACATGAGTATCGATAGAGTACAGCCTTGCTTTATGCCTTTTCTTTTTATTCTGAAGGAAGGGGATATTTTATCGTTGATTTTGAAGCATGAGATTGGAATATTGGTTTTTTAAGATGAGAATGATGTTGGGTTCTATCATATGTTCTGACAACGTTTTCCATAGAGCTTCATGGTTAATATTATCAACAGCTCTATTAAAATCTACGAATGTGAGGTAGGAGGGTATTTGTATTTGCAACATTTCTGCATGATTATTTTCAGGGCTAATATTGGCTCTAGTATATTTTTGTTTGGCTTATACGCGCATATATATTTGGGGAAAAGATGAGGTGTAGATAATATGATTCTATTTTTTAAGGGGACCATAAAAATCTTTGAGACAGGATGTGAGGGCTACGGCTCGGTAATTCTTAAATTTCTTTGGGTCTTTGATTTTAGGAAGTTATATAGGAAGGATTTGCTCCATTCCCCTGGAGTATTTCCGCTCTCCCATATTTTATTGAAGAGGGCTAATAGGAAGGAAGATATTATCATAGGTGCTATTCTTAGGTATTCTGCTATGATATTATCCACCCCAGAGCTTTGTTTTTCCATAGATTCTTGATTACATTTGATATTTCATTTATGGAGAAACCAGACGGGGGTTGGGTGAGGTTTCTATTTATGTTTGTTGGTAGAGTAGCTTTCCATGAGTCGAAGACCGTTGTATAATAATCAAGCCATAATGCCATTTGTTCAACCTGGTCAATAATTACTTTTCCGTTTCCTAAAACTGCAAGGTTTACAGAAGTATTTTAATTATTTATAGGCGTCATAGATCCTGCTTTCTTTCATATCTTTATCAATATCTAAGGCTTTTTTCGCTATGTAAACCGCTCTATCACTACATAGTAATCTCTGTATGTTCTTCCATAAGTCGCTATTCATCTCATTCCCCATTCTTAGCTGATTGATTTTTCTAAAGTTTCACTAGATATCCAATCTTTCCTTGAGAAATTACTACATTCAGCAAACCATCATATGATTCTGCAAGATCTCTTAAATAGTTTCCACCATTCTTCTACGTTTCCGTGCATGGTTACATTTAGAAGTGCTTTTTTAATTTAATGCTTAATCAAAAAGTATTACATAATCCGGCGGTTTTAATTTACTGAGTTTATGTGTAAGTTTGTTTTCAAAAGATTTGTACTAGTTCCAATCGAGTTTTGTCTACTTCTGTTATGATAGTCCCATATATTTTTTAGGGTAATATTAACTATAAGCATTCTATGATCCAACAGGTTTATATTAGTTGATGCCTTTTCGTCATCAAACTACAAGAAAATGTTGGAGATGAAGAAAACAATTTGGGATTTCTGCCGAGTCCTCACGAAGGTGTATGTGTTTATTTGGTGGTAAAAAAGGTGTTTTCGATTTTGAAATTCTCTTTTCTGCAGAAATCGAAAAGTTTTTTGCTATCCTCGCTATTAGGTTGTTGTATAGTAGCATACGCGGTGACATTACTGCTAACATATTCTGCTTCTTTGCCAATTTTCATGTTTAGATCACCTAGAATTATTATATTATATCTGCACGATAGGGAGTGAATCGTATTATCATTATATCCATGAAGTCTGATCTTTCATTTCTATTAAGTGGGCATAGAAATTTGTTATTATTGTGGGCTTAAAATTTGTGTTCAAATAGAGAAGACCGCATCTTTCAGATACGGGCACGAATTTGATGATATATTTATGTATTCGTTTATTTATAAGGAATGCTATCCCGGATCAGCTGTTAGAATTGGTACCCGAGGAATAACTTATAATCATTAAAGTTTGCAGTGTTATTCCCTGGGTAGTGGGTTTCCTGAATACCTATAATGTCTACCTTCTCCACTTCTAACATCCTTAAGAGAATCACTAATTTGTTTTTCATTCCATTGATATTAAATACCTGTGATTTGTTCTAGAGAAACCATCGATAAAAAGTAAAACATAAAAATAAAATAAATTAAGAGGAAAAGACATTTTGAGTGGAGATAGCAGAGTTGGGCAGGTCCTCCGGAAAAAGAATCTAGATACAGATACAGATTCTTTATAAAAAAATGAATCTTAGATACAGATACTAGTATCTTTTTCAAAATATCAAAAAGATACAAGATAGAAGATACTTGTATCTTTTGCTAAATTAGAGTATCTTAAATACAAGATACTTTTAAATTTTCATTATCAATTAAATTAGAATAGTTTATAAATAGAGTTTTTATTATTTATTTGTGAAAAACATAACATACGCATATAAGAATGAATATTTACAATAATTAATAAAATATTTATTAATGAGTTAATTATTATAATATAATAATAGGCATTTTAATATTAGTTTTTGCCCATTAATAACATAAACACGGAAGGGAGAGTAGTATATTTAATGGGAGTTGAAAATTTGCAAATAAATAAAAAAATTAAATCAAATTATTTTTTAAAATAATCAATTTTTCAAATAATTTATCATTAAGTCTTTGTCGTTTTGGCGTATTTAACATTGTGCCAAAACTAAATAACCTCTCAACAGGAGCTGATGAGGGTATGGCAGTATTATATTTTAAAAAAATTTCCTTAATTAAAGGATAAAATTTAAGCATTTCGAGTGTTTTTCGCCGGTCTTTAATATAATTTAAAACCTCAAGCTCAACGTTGTTTGTATTATTGAATTCAACAAAGGTTTGTATCACTAAAAGAAAAATAATCATCATTTTCTTTATTAGATATTATATCTATTGGTGATACATCCTGAGCTTGATGGTATACTATTTGTGCTAGCTCTAATGCTTCGTTTAGTAATATCTTTTGAAAATATTTTTTTTATCATCAGATTCAATCCATAGATTCTTAAAATATGGATGTGATAATGATGCCAAAAAGGCCTCATTATATTTATTATCATAAGAAAAAAATTTTCCAAATCTTTTCACCATAGCATTTTGAACAGCTTTTAATAAAGGGAGACAATATTGTAAACTTGAATGTTCAAGTTTACCCAAGTCCCTTTTAATTACAAATAATATGGGCACTAATTCCCCATAAAATGTACTTGTAGTTTGTCTAAAATTGCTACTGGG